CGAGTCATCGGAGGAACTTCGGCGGATCGCTAGCTGGCATCGTTTATGGTTAGAACTAGGGCGGTATCTGATCGCCTTCGAACCTCTAACTTTCGTTCTTGATTAATGAAAACATTTTTGGCAAATGCTTTCGCTTCTGTTCGTCTTGCGACGATCCAAGAATTTCACCTCTAACGTCGCAATACGAATGCCCCCATCTGTCCCTATTAATCATTATCTCGGAATTCCGAAAACCAACAAAATAGAACCGAGATCCTATTCTATTATTCCATGCACACAGTATTCAGGCGATAATAAGCCTGCTTTGAGCACTCTAATTTGTTCAAAGTAAACGTACCGGCCCATCTCGACACTCAATTAAGAGCACCGCGACAGGATTATTGGACCGCTTTAGTTTTTACACTAAAGCTAAATCCACCGGTAGGACGTCCCACAAGCATGCCAGTTTACACCGCGAGCGGTGAACCGACAGTTTGGCACACGGATTCAACTACGAGCTTTTTAACCGCAACAACTTTAATATACGCTATTGGAGCTGGAATTACCGCGGCTGCTGGCACCAGACTTGCCCTCCAATTGTTCCTCGTTAAAGGATTTAAAGTGTACTCATTCCGATTACGAGGCCTCAGATGAGTCCCGTATCGTTATTTTTCGTCACTACCTCCCCGTGCCGGGAGTGGGTAATTTGCGCGCCTGCTGCCTTCCTTGGATGTGGTAGCCGTTTCTCAGGCTCCCTCTCCGGAATCGAACCCTGATCCCCCGTTACCCGTTACAACCATGGTAGGCGCAGAACCTACCATCGACAGTTGATAAGGCAGACATTTGAAAGATTTGTCGTCGGTACAAGACCATACGATCAGCTAAAAATTATTCAGAGTCGCCAAAGTAAACGATGGCCGAGACCACCGATTGGTTTTGATCTAATAAAAGCGTTCCTTCCATCTCTGGTTGGAACTCTAGTTTGCATGTATTAGCTCTAGAATTACCACAGTTATCCAAGTAAATGTGGGTACAATCTAAGGAACCATAACTGATTTAATGAGCCATTCGCGGTTTCACCGTAATTCGGTATGTACTGAGACATGCATGGCTTAATCTTTGAGACAAGCATATCACTACTGGCAGGATCAACCAGGGAACTTTATAGTGTATACGCACACATAGTTCTCAATATGCGTTATATAGGAAAATAAATATACTGTCAACGTCTTACTATATAACACATATTTTATGTTGTAAGTGAAACTAATGTTTCCATCAACACTTTTATACTTTAAATATTGAAACATTCATTGAAATGAATATATTACTTTAAAATTCAAACACTCTATTTGTTTTTTTTCTTCAATTTTAATCTAACTCTCGCTAGATATAATTGTTAGCGACTTGGTTGTATTTAATAAACGTAGTAAAAAAATTATTATTCTTACTAGGATTGAAGTGAATACAACATTACTGTAGTTTTGAGTTACACGCAACTAAAAGAATACGTATAACTATAAAAAACGTCTTTCGGACGATTTACCACATCAGAGTCATTCAGTCTATGACATCGACTCGTGGTTATGTTACGCTAATGTAAACATTAGTAGTCTCTCATCCTTCCTGAGACGTTAATCACCGAAACTGTATTGGGCGCTCGATACTTGAAACGGACATTTTGTTTGCCCTTCCTAAGCTCTCTGTATGGTTCGTGTTTACTTTCTTCTTCCGCACGTATATTAGCCTCAGCCGGAGCTGAATATTCAATGTAATATACATGCTTGGTGTTATGATCAAAAAGTGCAATATATTATACATATATACATTGAGAAGTGTGTTGAAAAAAAATTTCCAGTGAATCTTTGCTCTCTCATTTTTATTCGTTTATTACACTATGTAGCATAAATGGTGTTGAAAATTTTTTATTTTCTATATTAAAATGGAACACTATTTATATAACGTAGTGTACATTTATTTGCTGTTTAACTATTTTTGATTTTCAATTGTTTTCGCTTTTCAACTGTTTCAACTAGACTTCTTTCATGTTATTCGCCTTCAACGGGAGATAGCTAACCGCAGCGCGGTAAGCGACTACTGTCTCTCACTTGCACTAGAACGAGCGTCACTATTTCGACTATGCATCACTTTAACAATGGAGAACGAAAATACGATTTGTTGAGTTTGAAGGACCGTTTTACTAAGATTCCGTTATTTTTTGTATTACTAAGAAGAAAATTTAAATTAATAAACTTAGTTCTTGGAAAAAAGCAACTTTTTCACACGGATGAAGGAAAAAGATACATATATTGTCACACCAAAAAATTTTAATCAGCAATTTTCAATCGATTATAATTAAATTATTTAAAGAAAGTCTATTTATTTTTCTCCCTATATAATCTAATTCGAATTATCAAAAACAGCCCCATCCATTTGGGCTGTACAAAAATGTGCGTCAAGCATAAATAACGACAATGATGAAATTACAAAAAGTTCTCAAATCATTAAACGTCAATTATTTAAATGTAAGAGTCAACAATATTTAAAATGGATTATTCTCTTCGGTTTTTTTTTTTAAATTTAGTACGTTTAATGACACTATAAACATAACAAGCATAAACTTGGCGTGACTCTTATTCATTAATTGGCTTCAATATTTTCAAAATTTCATGCTTCTAGAAAATCTCAAGTCCAAAAACCGCAATAAGTATTTCTGAAAATGTCATGTTTCTAGAAAATCTAAACAGTCACGTTTGATGAAGAGTAGCATTTACTTATGGAAAAGTCTTTGAGCCCATGAGAATCTTAACCGAGGATAGGGCGATCTACTAGCCAATGGAATTTTGTGATGTCTGTCGAGATATTCGTGTTAAGTCGAGAAACTGGCTTTAAAAACTGTCATGGTTCATTTTTTTTTATTATCTGAAGATGAATATAGAATGTAAATGTTGAACATTAATTTATCTAATGGACGATAATTGTTTCCATTTATCAAGGTCACTTTTTTATTTTTCTTACCGACAAAAAATGAATCGATATTCATATTAAAAATTATACTGATCTTAAACAGACAAAATGAATCTACTGAAAGTAATGTTAGATAATTGTTGTTTTATCTTTGTTTATGTAAGAAACAGTTCAAAATAGCTTATGAAGACACAGTTTTATCTATGTGTTATATATCCTGCCCTTATATTACAACTTTATTTATGTATATTTTACCTAGCATTCTATATTTCTTAAACCTTTTTTTCTATATCCTGTAATAAAACTGCACTTTAATATTTCCCCAGAAAACTAAACTTTTCAAAATCCTCAACTACCTAATTCGACACAGTTTTACCACGACAAAAAACAGCCTTACGTCACCAAACAACTATCCTTTCTATCCTGGATTTCATCCTATAAATACATCCTATTTTGAGGAACCAGAACACTATTTTCTAAGACACCAACCTGTCCACTTGTTTTCTATTTTCTAAATTATACAATTTCATATCAGAACAACTGTAAGCTGTACAAACTAATAAGTTTTAATAAACTTGAGGTAGAATTAAATTTGTGTTTCATTAGCCATACAACAAAATGCATACTGCTTTAATGCATGTACTGAGTGGAATTAATTAAATAAATGGGTTTCTCTCTATATAAATTAATGTAGAAATGGAATTTCATCATGTATTTCTTCATTATAGATAATAGATTTTGAAAAAAATTAATGAAAATGATGTAATGCAATCTTGAAAATAAATTATTTTACTAGCAATTTGCAAGCTTTTTTGATAAAAATCACATGTATATTTTCTTAAGTGAAATCACTCCTATTCCATCTCTGAAAAAAATCATGTTTAATTGCAGTAAGATTTACTAATAGTAAATATAGAATTCTAACTTTAAACATAACATGTTAATTATAAATAAATCCTTTTTTCAGTGATAACATTCTCTGGCCTCTCTTGAGTCCTGAATTGCTAAGTGCAAAATAAAAATATTAAGACCTGTTAATTTTTCATTACTTTTAAAAAATTATTTTGTTAGATGAAAGCCGGAAGTTCCAAGTCCATCAGACTTGCACCAAGATTATCCCCTATTTGACGTAAATTAGTCTGTTCACATAAAGGCTTTTTGAGGTTGAAGTAAGAATTACACAAGAAATGCGATACTTGGCAGAACATTATAAATTATCACTGTCTATATATTTGTATAGAATAAGACTGCTGGATACAGCTCAAATGACCTCGTGGAGTAAAAATACTCTTCGTCGCATCTTCGAATACACCAACATTCGACTGACGAAGAAGGATGCGTCTCTCGATGTTGGAACGTCTACTGCTCTCCCCAACCAGCCAATTTAATTTCTCAAGGTCAATTTCACGAGCTCGTTTCTCAGCTTGCAGCCTCAGTTATATAGAGAGTAAAGTAAAATTTAATTACATGAGCAGTAGTACGAAGTATACATAGATAATGAAAAAGGTAGAGTGACTCGATGGCAAACTCGATGGAAAATAATATATGAATAAGAAGCTTTGTAATAAATTCAAGCTACGGGCGATCGTTCTTCCCTATCGCAATTCCATCTTCATGTCTTCTCTAACATGCAAGCGCTACAGTGGGTCCTTTATCTTCTGAGCCTGGTCGATCCTTGCCGAGAAAATGAATACACTTTCAAGGACACACCATTTGGCCTTGAGTCTAAATTACACCAAGGCTTTACTTACACACATATGCACCAGGAAGACACACAATTAATACTTCTCTTAAACCATAAAACCATACCAAACAAAAAATATCATGTCTGATAAATCATTGAACGATAAATGATGCGGCTTTTCCTCAAAGCTAAAATGCTACTTTAAGATAACTTCTCTTCAATTCTTTCGCAATATTATTTTTGGCTTGTGATTACTCGGTAATCTTCTCAGCTAAACTTGATAATTGGCCATAACTCAGGAAAATAAACCAGAAAGTTGTACTGTGTCTGATCTACTTGTAGCTTATTTAAGTTTTGCTGTAGGTACGACTTACTGTAAAGGAACCCATTTTCTAAATCTGCCGCGCGTGACTTAATCTTTGTTCATCATTTAAAATTTTTTTTTTAAAAAAATTAGTGATTTTTCTTTATTAAAGTTAACAAATCTAGTTTCTTTTTAGAATTGAACAATTTTGTCTGGAGGAGAAATCGTGTTTTACCCTACATTCATGAAACTAAATTGTAGTTTAATTAAAAGAATGTGAAATTGTTGAACAATGTGTGGTGAATCTGAATAAAAATTCTACTGAGTTTTCATGAAAAATATATACTTCAGAGTTTGTTACTCAGACGTTTCAACCCATTTGCTTGAAATTTCTTTCATCATACTTCACCACTTTGAAAAATTAAAAAAAAAAGATACTTTCAATACTCTAAATGATGCGAAAAATCTTTGTAAGTATATTCGAATGATGTGTTGGCAAAAAAAAGTTCTATGGTATTTTTTATTTCACAAAGTTATTTTCAGATAATTACGAGAATACAACTATCTTTTGAAATGTCTCCTCGAAAAATATAACAAATGGTTCAGTCTATGAATACAAAATAAAATGGATAAGTATTTATATTTTACGTAAACAACATAAAGTAATACCGTTAATACAGAGAGAATTACAGCATGAAGGGTGAACAGAAGGTAATTACGGTCTGTAATGTTCATCTGAAGAACAGCTTAAAAAATTTCCTTGATAAATTACACAACTTCAAAAATTTAAAATAAATTTATGTTAAACTGACCGACACTGAACGTGCTTCACACTTCATGAGAGTAAGTGAGGGTAAAAAAGTAAAACAATATGTATTCCATCTACAAATAATCCTTCCATAACTTTTTCTACCATTGAAATGTTTCATCTTGACATTTGATTGATTGCTACCTAGGAAAAGTGATAAATAAAGTAGTAGTGAAACATCAGTTTGAATAATTGTAGCTTCAGAAAGTAGTTGATTTGATTTCTTGTCATTGTAAATGAATAGTTGTATAGTCTTTACAGTATTTCCAATAGATATCAGAACTTCAGAAGCATTCTATTACAGCTGCTAAATACATTTTTTGTAGCTTAAAATTGTTTTTCATGATCTCCTCTTACAATGAATTTTTACGACTAAAACTTTAGTGTCATTGGACTGTAACGTGACTTTACTCTTTTCTATAATTTTTATACATGGCTACTTTCAGGTTTCATTTCAGTAAAATTTCAATTGAAAAAAAAATTGGTGTGAGGCTATTTGCAGTTCCTACACGTAGAACTTAAGTAATTTATGGTAATTACTGTAGATCGATTCTAATTGATAAATGGAAAAAAAATTGCAAAATAATTGTAACCGATTATTGGACCGAACATACACATAGTATTTTATGATTTTCAGCATTCCGTGACGCTCATTTGTGGATATCTTAGAAACGGATACCTTTTTGCAAAAACTGTAGGAGTACACAATGTATAGAAAAGAATTTGCTACTGGTCTAGATTTTCTGTCAAATGAAATTGGCCCGAAGTTAATATCCTCATTACTTTTTGAGAGGCCATAAACGAAAAATATCTACAGTGTAAAACAGTTTCTCATACCATTTGATAAACAGTATGAGAATGATCTAGCAGCGATAATTTTATGAACATGAAAATTCTAATTATTAACTTCCCATTAGGAAGTTATTGTAATTGGGTCGATTGGTGAAATTTGAATTTTAATTAGATCTCCACGTTTCAAGATATTTACTCTTAACAATTACGTCGTGGGTTCAAATTACCTCAATAGAGAATATTCTTTATTAGATGTCACAATCCGCATTTCCGGAAATCTTTAAAATTTGTATACGTAAAATTGGTGTTCAACATATATAAAATCTAACAAAATTATTTTTTAATTATTCAAATTACTTTTATTAATAATTTTTTTGTATTTTTACTATAGGGAATTGAAGTGGCATAATATTTCTTGAATATTATAGTAAATCATGCCAACACATTCATTGAGAAAACTTCTACATTCTAAACCAGTTTAGTTTACACATCATTGTAAAAAATATACACTAACTAATAGTTATATTAACATATTCACTAGTAAAATTATAACCAATAAATTGTGTCGAATTAACACAAAATTTATGCCAATTTGATCTTGTGTGTCAAACCATTGATACAAATCTTGTGTAAAGATTAAATATAATACAACTGATTTAATCAGTGGAAAATCAATGAATATTCACTGAATTTGCAGTGTATTTTATTATTTTCACAGTTTCATTTTTAAAGAGTGTGTATGAACTCTCGCATTCCAAACCGTCGAAATCTGGTGAAATCCCAAAGTAGTATAGAAATATATACTTCCTATCTACTGAGACTCTAATTGAATTAATTAATTGAGTAGATAATACCTTTTTTCATTCATGTTTAACATCATGAAGTTATCCAGTTTACTCTAGTCATGATAAGCAATCAGGACAAAACGTTCTGAATAAATTGTCTTTATATCATTAAATTAGATTCTCTAATAGGAAGTTTGTTGAACATACATTACCAAACTATTTTGAATAATAAAAATTAGCAATAATTCTTAAAACATTCTAGATGGTCGTGATTATCCAAAATTTAGCATCAATTTATTTAAAAAATTGATTTTCATAATGAAAAAAATATTTCGTTTTTTTTTCTTTTCTTAAAAAGCTTTTAGAATTAACAAGATTCAGCTAATGAATATTAATTTTTAGTGAGGTTTTAATCTGCTGATAATGCCTGCATTATCTACGAACTGAATAATAATTTGGTAACCAGGTCTACTGTTAAAAGATTCCATTACATTAGCAGTAATGATGTTTATAATACCTCCATTATAGCACATTGAAACATTCTCACACTTACCGTCCGAAACACTTCTTTTTGGATCCACTACTTTTTTAAAGCTTAAAGTATTACAGAATGACATTCATATTCTCATTTTAAACATATCTTCTCCATACTTTGAAATTTTCTTTAATTAGCTAAAGACTGTTAGACTTCTAGATAATAAAAAAATAAGCTGGAACTATGTACTTATCTGTAATAATATTGTAAAATATTTGTATGTCGCCATCTAATGACTATTAGACTAACTATTAGACAATTAGATTGTTTATAGCAACGAGGGGAGAGTTTGTTCATCTCCAGTTTTTGATTGAGACTTGAGTTGACCGCACGGATTCTTTCTTTCTAATTAATTACTGTCAATCTTTAATAAACATTTTTCTTTATTTATTAATTTTCCGAAGTTGTTATTTGTTCTTATTTTACATTGGTGTCAGAAAGTGGTTCGTTTCGCGTGCCGTGAATTGTTTTGTTGGTGATTTTTAAAAGAATATTTAAATAATCATGCCAAAGAGTCCAAGTCGGAGACTCGAGCTGGAAGGAGAACTCAATATGCCGATTGTGTCGAAGACGGTTCTAATGGAGGACTTCTAGCTTTAGAGATGAGATTAAATCGGTTGGAAGAAAGACTAAATCGAGATCAGATTCGTTTGGAGGAACGTTTCGAGGAAGGTCGAAGAGAAACTCAAGATTTATAACAATAATAATTTGGAAATTCATAATTTAGAAAATAATTCTAATAATTTGGTTTTCTACCGTTGATTTAAAAAGTGGATGTTGGCAAGTTGAAGTTGCTCCGGAGGATAGATCTGAAACTGCTTTTTGTGTTTAGAATGAGGTTTGGCAATTTAAGGTTCTTCCTTTTGGTTTGAGTAATGCTCCTGTCACCTTTGTTAAACTTATGAACATAGTTTTAGAAGGTCTTCTCGGTAAAATTTGTTTAGTTTATTTGGATGATATTATTATTTGCAGTAAAAGTCTCAATGAACATTTCATTCATCTTCAAAATGTTTTTGAAAGACTTTTACAAGCTTCTCTTAAGATTAATCCTAAGAAATGTATATTTTTCCAAAAAGAAGTTATTTTCCTTGGACATGGAGTTTCTGGTGAAGTACTGAAAAGTTCTCCAGATAAAATTTCTGCTATTATTAATTGGCCTGTTCCTAAAAATAAATCTGAACTTAGAAGTTTTCTAGGTCTTTGTTCTTATTAGAGGAAATTTGTCAAAGATTTTGCTACTATTGCAAAACCTTTATATCTTATTAGTCAAGAAAAGGAAGATTTTATTTAGGATGATTTAGTTTTTCAAACGTTTCAAAAATTGAAACAAATTTTGACTTCTACTCCAATTTTGGGTTATCCTGATCTAAATTATCCTTTTATTCCTGATACCGATGCTTCGAATGTTGGCATTGGTGCTGTATTATCTCAAAAGATTCCAGTTAATAGAAATGGTGAGACTGTTTATGAAGAAAAAGTTATTGCTTATTTTAGCAAAACTTTAAATAATCGTGAACGAAACTATTGTGTTACTAGGAAAGAATTATTAGCTGTTGTTATTTCTGTTGAAAATTTTCGTCATTTTCTTCTTGGCAAGAGGTTCACTATTAGAACTAATCATGCCTCTCTCACTTGGTTACTTTCTTTCAAAAATCCTCAAGATCAAATAGTTCGTTGGTTTGAAATCATATTTCAATATGATTTCGAAGTTCAACATAGACCTGGTCATAAACATGGCAATGCCGATGGTCTTTCTCGGCGTCCATGTGATTGTAAAAAATGTCTCAAAATAGATTCTGATGAAAAATGTGATAGTAGGTATATTTTCCGTATCATTTGTGAAATTAATAATGATTCTGATTGGATCAAATTTCAAAATGATGATAACATTGTGCGTTTAATTATTAAACTCAAAAAGGAAAATAAAGTTCCCGAGTTTAACGATGTTTCACATTTGGATTCTACTTTTAAAATTTATTTACTTTATTGGAGTTCTTTAGAATTGAAAAATGGTGTTTTTGTTAAACGTTGGGAAGCTCCAAATTTTTCTCATATTATTTTTCAGGTTGTCATTCGTCGAGCTAAAGTGAATGAAATAATTCATGAGGCTCATAATTCTCCTTCTGGTGGTCATTTTGGTATTAATAAAACGATTTCAAAAATTCGTCAACGATTTTTCTGGATAACTCTTAAACAAGATGTTGAGATTTGGTGTGAAAAATGCAAAGTTTGTTTCGCTAAAAAGGGTCCCCATAAAAAATCTTGTGGTCAACTTCAAATTTATAATGTTGGTTCTTCTTTTGAAAGGGTTGCCATTGATATTCTTGGTCTTCTTACTAAAACCTCCTCTGGAAATAAATTTTCACTTGTTGTTACAGATTATTTTACTAGTTGGCCTGAGGCGATTCCTCTGCCTAATCATCAGGCTTCTACTATTGCTGAGGCTTTAGTAACTTAAATATTTTGTAGATATGGTGTTCCTATTGAAATTCATTCTGATCAGGGTCGAGAATTCGAATCTGAAATCTTCAAGGAGGTGATGAGTCTTTTTGGTATTAAGAAGACAAGAACCACACCTCTTCATCCTCAATCAAATGGTTTAGTTGAAAGGTTGCATAGGACTATTCTTCAATATCTGTCCAAATTTATTAGTAAAAATCAAAAAGATTGGGATAAGTGGATTTCTTTATTTTTATTGGCCTACCGTTCTTCAAGACATGAAACTACTGAGTATTCTCCAGCTTTGTTGATGTTAGGTCGTGAATTAAGGTTGCCTATTGATCTTCTTAGAGGAATTAATCCTTCAGATAATTCTTTTGAGGATAATTCTATAACTGATTTTGTTTTTAATCTTCGTGAACAATTAAAAATTGTTCATGATAATGTATGTGATAAGTTGCAAATTAAATCAGAAAAACTTAAG